TGCGAATGGCTAGGCGAGCAGCTGCGTCACGAGTCTGCCAGTGGGAACGAACACTAAGCTCGGCTGTGGCAGCAGGAGCAGCGGCAGCACCAGACGCGTAGTCATAGAGGGAGATGTGGTCCGTGCTATTGCTCATAAGATACAACTGCAGGTCGTCGAGCCAGGAAGTGAACTGCACGGGACGGCCCTCAGCATCGAAGGAAAGAACGCGAATAGAGGCCATAGCTCAGGCGTGAGGGCACAGCAGAGCAGCGGCAGCAGCAGAGGGGACGCGCTAGAGCGAAGCTAGTAGCCACAGCAGGAGAAAGCGGCAGTGCACAGGCAGTGAGAAGCGCGGCGGGCGAGCTGCGAAGCGGGCAGCGGTGTGGGCGGGCGACGCAGCAAGCGGGCAGTGAGGCGGCGCTGCGAGCGGGCAGCAAAGCGGGCGGGCCGCGAAGCGGGCAGCTAGCGGGCGGGCGGGCTGCGAAGTGGGCGGGCTGCGAAGCGGGCAGCGGGGCGAGCGGGCTGCGAGGCGGGCGGGCCGCGAAGCGGGCAGCGGGCGGGCGGGCGGGCTGCGAAGCGGGCAGCGGGGCGAGCGGGCTGCGAAGCGGGCGGGCCGCGAAGCGGGCAGCTAGCGGGCGGGCGGGCTGCGAAGTGGGCGGGCCGCGAAGCGGGCAGCGGGGCGAGCGGGCTGCGAGGCGGGCGGGCCGCGAAGCGGGCAGCGAGCGGGCGGGCGGGCTGCGAAGCGGGCAGCGGGCGAGCGGGCAGGGCTGGCCGCGAAGCGGGCGGGCGGGCCGCGAAGCGGGCAGCGAGCGGGCGGGCGGGCCGCGAAGCGGGCAGCGAGCGAGCGGGCTGCGAAGCGGGCGGGCCGCGAAGCGGGCAGCGAGCGGGCGGGCGGGCCGCGAAGCGGGCAGCGAGCGGGCGAGCGGGCTGCGAAGCGGGCGGGCCGCGAAGCGGGCAGCGAGCGAGCGGGCTGCGAAGCGGGCGGGCCGCGAAGCGGGCAGCGAGCGGGCGGGCGGGCTGCGTAGCGGGCGGGCCGCGAAGCGGGCAGCGAGCGGGCGGGCGGGCTGCGAGCGGGCGGCTCGGCGAGGGGCGCGCGAGGGCGCTAGTGAGGGGCGCGCGAGGGCGCTAGCAAGGGGCGCGCGAGGGCGCTAACGAAGGGGCGCGCGAGGGCGCTAACGAGGGTGCGCGCGAGGGCGCTAACGAGGGGCGCGCGAGGGCGCTAACGTGGGCGCACGAGGGCGCTACGAGGCTAGGGCACGGGGTAGCGTGGTAACCGCATGCGAGCGGTGGTGGGCCCTTAAAAAAAAAAAACGGTCGGTAGGTCCTAGGGACCTCCTGCTCTGAATACCATGTCAGAATCACTAGGCAAGAATGAATGAACTAGCAGAAGTTTGGGTACAAATATGAAACCCTAGTTGGGGTTGTACCCCATATTGGCTACCCCACTACAGCCTACAAGCATAATACAGTTTAACACTGGGTACTGGGCCACAACCTAATGCGGGGGTTACTACTACAAGAGGCACACAACAGGGTCACCTCGGGACATTTTGAGGTCGAGAAAACACTATAGCAGTGCAGCGATACCACTATTGGCCCGAAATGTTGACTGATGTGCAGCGATACGTGGCGTCGTACCCCACCTGCCAGCGCATGGAGTCGTTACGATGGCGACCAGCAGGATAGTTATAGCTGATACCATCCCAAGAGCGTGCTTGGCAGTAGGCGACGACAAACTTCGTCACGGGGTTACCAGCTGGGGCGAGTGAGAACAATGCGAACCTCATCGCCGTCAATCGGCTAATACAAATGAACCTATTTCGTAGCCTGCAAGAATGTCAATTTCAGCCGAAGAAACAGCCCGTTTCTTCATCGCCACCGTCATTCGACCATACTGGATACCCGCAACGATCGGCTCGCGGAACCTGTGGCAACAGAACGGCAAGCGACCAGAGTTCATTTTGTCGTACTACCCCGAAACCGACTGTCAAACGTAACAGACCAATCAGACCATCGAGGAGTTCATTCGCGCCACGTGTGACGACCCGACAACATAAGAGCAGTTACTGCCACCCATCGAGTGAGCGTACAACAATTCCACGTCAGCTACGACCCAACATTCGCCAGTTTACCTTAAATACGGACAGAATCCCACCGAATTCTGACAACCTGGTCTTACGTGCACAGCAATTCGACAAAACATTAAAAGCACCCCGGACCTTAGTAGTAGACGCATAAAAGAATTGAACGTCATCGCTAAGCGCAATGCCGATCTCCACCGCTGCCCCGTCACCAACTAGCCCGACGACCTAGTATTACTCGACACTCAGAACTTCTGCCTGCCCGTCACTCCTTTGTTATGTCCACGATATTGAGGGCCAGCACATGATCGCACTAGTCACCGCCTACCTCCTCCTACCCGCTGATTTGTACGTCAGCCCCTCGTTCCACGTAAACCTCCTCCGACCCTACGTCCCATCAACAAGTCAACTGCCACACAGCAGCCCATCAAGCATGACACGCCCGCCAACAGAACCAATTTTTAGCCCCGAAAAAAAGTTAACCCACCAAGTTCGCAACCCACATGGAGCACGCCGTATCAAGTCTCTAATCCTCTTGAAGCACCCCACACCTATAGAATATAATTGGACACCCTGGATAAATTTGAGAACCACCCCCTCCTCACCGAGTACATGCGCAACAAAAACTTTCGCGATGCCGTCTTGTAAAGGGGCCTCTTTGGGAGAGGGTGGTGTAAGGAGTAGTCATTTTCATTATTTTGCGTCCCTGCTTTCCGCGTACTCCCTCCAACAGTTCTCGCCAACAGTAAATCGTTACCACTCAACACTTGCCTCGACTACTCTTCCGCCATTGTTCACATCATGACCTAACCTTACGGCTCGGTTGAAAACCCGCGCTCCGGTCCTCTACCTTGACAAAATTCAAACCTCGGTGTCAGTCCCGTCGCACAACCCACAATTCGTTCGTTACCGTTACCATGCTAGTTCGCTATTTAACATTCACTCATTCATTTTTCGTGCTTTGATCGTGCAATCTTTGCTCGCTCACTCAATTCGTAACAATTAGGCCGTGTTACATTTTTTGAAATCGCTGAAAGTCTGAACAGTAATCTGGACGCGTGCGAAGATTGCGACGTCACGCGGTCGCGTTGCGATGAATGCGATGCAAAAAAAAAAAAAAAAAAAAAAAACTATACGAAGCAATACGAAGCATGCGATGTCATTTAGACCCTGAAGAACTTTGATCGAGTTCCTTAACCACACATTCGTCCGGACGGTTGGACGTCCGGACGAGAAAAAATAAAAAATAAAACGTAACAAGCCCTTAGACATTATTGAGTTTATGTTATTGGTAGGAAAGAAGGCGGATAGTCATAGTGTGCACGTTTGTTAGAAGGCGAGCTTCAGGATTCCGAACTTCCGATTTCTATCTAATCGCGTTCCTCAGTCCCTGAGTTTGGGGTGTTCCTAGGTCTAGGTTTGGTCGTTTCGGGCATCAATATTTTCAAGGGTGTGAACTGTGCAGCTTCCTTTCCACTTTCCTGAGAGCAGCTAAAGCAGGATTTTGGAGCTGTTAACCGTTTCATATAGATCCTTCTATAGATCACATATCTTTTGCGGTGAAGATATCCTCGAAATCGACGGCCTTCGTGAAGGTTTCGAATATCTTGCTCATCATGACAGTCCGCGCGTGAACTTCTAATTATGAATAGATCCTTCTATAAATCTTCATTGGTGGATTTGTTTTCATGTTGGATCGTGTCAGTTTTCAGTTTTTTTTGGTAGGCTAAAACGCTGTATAAATCAGAATCACCCAGCAAACAAACAGTTCTGTACTTTAGTACACCGAGTCTGGTAAATTAATCATCCGTTTGTTTAACTACAGTCTTGTTCATACCTAAAAAAGCCCACCGTAATTGAACTGGTAAAACGCAGCCAGTAGTATCGATTCTGAGCCTATACTTGGTTTGTCCATATATTTCTTTTTCCCATGAAACATGTGACGTTCCATTGTTTCCGAACCCAACACTTAAGAATCGACGGAATCCTGAACAGCAGGTACAAAATACCGAATCTACGAGTGAGCGCACCTCACCGCCAGCCATAGCTTCTGGTGGTGTAACCAAGATTACGGTTTGTGGTTCACGCATCAACCTCGCTTTCGCAGCAGCATCGGGTTGCGCAAGGACCAGAATCTAGGGCTAGCTCCATTGCCATCCATCGTGGAGAAATGACAGGCTGGGGACCTGGGGCGTTTGGGCTGCATGCGGGATTGTCGGGCAAAGTGAGGCTCTGCTGAGCTCACTTGCTACGTAGAAGTTTTCAACTCAACCTTCCCTTCCCCAGTGATTGTACACAGGAAAAACACGCACGGTGGGGTAATAAACTGAAATATGGCGTTAATAATACCATTTCTGTTACTTATTACGGTGTTTTCTTCTGCCAAAAGATTTCATAATATTTCATAAATTTAAGATATGAAAATTCTTCTTAAATAATGTATTTGCATATACATATGATTATCAATAGCACAAATAGTTGAATTACTGGGGTTGAGTCGTGATGGCAGGTATTGCTCTGGGGAAGTTTGATTGTATTTTTGGTACTGAACTTTGCGGTGCTGAAAATGAAAAAGGGGATGCGAGGGGTGCGAGTCACCAGCTGTCAGTTCGGGGATCCCTCCGTCCAATTCCTGTTGGCAACACTGCTGTGCACTCTCAATCAACTAAAGTGAAAACCCTTCCGTCTAGTCTCTTTCATGTCACAGCGTGTGAGAGCAGTCACCAGACCAAACTCACATTATGCCTTACCTCGCACACAGTACGTCACAGGCAGCTCAACTGGGAGATTTAGAGAGAAGTTCTTCGAAAATAGCTTTCTTTCCTTCCGAAATGCGCGATCAGTATGAAAATGCAATGCAAGTTCCTCGTCCTCAGCCTCAACTACAGCTTGAACTCAGCCTCGCTCCTAATCCATCCTTGGGCGCCAGGGACCATGATGCCTCTCGCTCAGAAATTCCGCCGCATAACCGTCATGAAGGCGAAGTGCGAGTGGGAGGCGAAATCGCCGAGTTTTCTACACGAAACTCGCCATCGGCGATTCGTTGTCCTGAAGAACGCCGCATCCATGCTGGCCCTGCAACCAATCTCCGTCAGGTAACGCATGAGCCTCAGTATTGGCGTGAAGCAGGCGTCGTGTCCAGTCAAGGGGCTGTCAATTTTCAACTTGAAGCAGAACTGCGGATTTCTGGATCTAATGTTGCTCCTTACGCTGCTCCGGGCACGTCTGTGGTTCCAACGACGCACCTGATTGAAAGAAACGGCAGAGAGATTTGGTTTCGTCCACCCAACCCGCAAGATCTCCACGACCCATCTACCACAGGTCACTGGAGCCACCTCCCTAGCGCTTCGGCGACGGCAGGAGTCCGCCTGGCCCCGGAACATCCGCGTTTTCAGCGTGAACCGTCGCTTTACCGCCTTGGAGACTCCCAACCCGCTACCAGTACTGGCCGTGCTACCGCGGGAAGAGAAACGCATGCGACTTCAACCTTCCAGACGGCGGCAGCATGCGATCCAGCGGTGGTAGCTCGAGGCCTGCCTGCGCTACACCGGGAGGCGGCAGGCGAGGAGGCACGCAGCAGAGAGTCCATGATCGCCGTCGTCATGGCTGCTGCGGCTGCAGCGGCGGCTGCATCGAGTGCCAGCGGCTCCAACACCGCCGCAGCTGTGGCTGCCGGCGCAGCTGCTGGCTTTGCAGCAGCGAACGCAGTCGATGCAGGTTTCTCCCCAGGGAGGTCTTTATTGAGTGCACAGCAGTACGGCGCAGCGCTGGGGAACGCCACAGTCATCCCTGCGTCGCTCTCCCTTGCGCCATCCACCCAGCTCAACCGTCCTTCTGCCCCTGCTCCGGCTGCAGCATCCCCAGCACCTGCACCTCCTGCATCAGCCTCTGCGCTGTCTGCGGCGCTGTCTGGACAGGCGCTGATCGGAGTGCAGCGCGCCATGCTGCTGGCTGCTGCTGCTGCTGCCGTTTCTGGCCACCACAACGCCGTGCCACATCGCACCGTGTCTTCCGATCCAGCAGCAGCAGTGACAACAGCCGTTCAGCCTACAGCCTCCCGGCCTGCTCCCTCGCTTGCAAACTCCTCCGCCACCACTACAGCTGCTCCAAGCGCCGGTGCCGCCAGGACAGTCACCGTTGGGAGTGGCGGGAGCAGAGCTGCTGTGTGCAACGAGGAGGGCGGCATGGCTCCTCGTGTGAGCAAGCTGCTAGCCAAGTGGTTGCGGTCGGACGACGAGGGCCCACACGTGTGCCCTGTGTGCAAGCAGAGCTTCCCCACGGCTGGCGGCCTGAAGCAGCATCAGCACGACCGCTGGCGCTGCTCCCTGGGCTCTCAACCCGTGCAGGCCTCTGCGCCCGCTGCTGCGGTTGCCGCCGCTGCTGTGGCTGGGCCAAGCCGTGCCGCGTCAGGAGCAGCTGGAGCTTCTGTTGCTGCCGGTCGCAGTGGGCGCTCGGGTGTGAGTACGAATGCTGGGGATGGGAGCAGAAACACTGTAAGGAGGGAAAGTGACAAGAGGGGTAGTGGAAAGGGTGGTGATGGAAAGGGCACCACGGCGACTGTGAGAGACAGCACAGGGATGCTGTGGCCTCGGCTGTCCGTACTTGATTCTGCGGCGAGTGGCGGGGAGGCCATGAAGAAGGACGTGTCTCGGAAGGCCAAGAGCAGGGGAAAAGGAGCTTCTGAGGTTGGAGAACCGAGGAGCCTGGAAAGAAGAAGTCAAACGACAGGAAGCAAACGGCCACAGAGTGAGATTGTGTCGGGGGGTTCGTTCATGGAACACCCTGTGAGGCAGTCCGTTGGTCAGCAGAGTGAGAAGCAGCAGACGGAGAGAGTTTCAGCAAGTGCAACCCCCTTCACACGACAAATCAGCATGATCAACACATCTCCGCCCCATCGAACCTCCCTCAGTGCCCCATCCGCTGCCTCCCCTTCCCTCGCCCACTCCTTCTCCTTACCTTCCCATCGTTCAGAGGTAACAGCCGGACTGCAGGGGACGGATGGTGCGCAGGGAGATTTGCGAGTGCACGGGCAGCAGCACTTCAGAAGAACGAATCCCATAGCAGATGAAAAGTTGCTGAGCCCCCCCAAGCGCATTCGGTCAGGGACGGGGCGACGAGAAGACTCAGGGGAAAATATAAACATGGCTGATGGGAACAGATTGCGAAGCGGTGGCTTGCAGTTCCATCAATCGAGAGAGTTTGACTTGGCAAAGCATGGTGTGCAAGGCGGGGAAGGGCAAAAAGGCGGTATGGCAGATGAAAACTTGGCAGGCGATGAGTCGGTGCATGGAGGTGCTGCTGCATCCGCAGAGACGGCGTCAGCAGGAGTGGCGGACGTGACTGCCATGGCTGGGTGGCTGAGAGCAGCACGCGTGCGCAGCGGAGAGCAGTGGGGACCTCCGCCATCCGGCTTCCCTGCTGCCGGTGGTCTTCACGGTGGGCTTGAAGTGCCTGCCAGGGCTGCAGGAGGGATGGAAAACGGTGGGCGGGGAGGTGGAGGGGAGGAGAGGGTGTGCAGGGGCGAGGAGGCAGCGGCGTATGCGGTGGACATGCAGCGGTGGCACAAGACACAGCGCTCACGCGTGGAGATACTGGATGGCAACCAGCCGCCCTGGCAGGCAGCTGATTTGTCTCTCTCAGGTGCACTTCCAGCTCAGGCGGAGAGAGGGTTTGGTGCGACAGCAGCGGGCGAACAGGGTTCTCGAGGTGCTGGCTCGTCCACCAGAGCAACCTTCTCCAAGGCTGCTGCGGCTGCGGCTTCTGCTGGTGCTGGTGGTGAGAGCCATGGTGTGAGTGAGAGGGCAGGGGCAGGGTTGACCTTTGACCTCAATATGGCACACGGGGGCGACGAGGCCGAAGTGACTGTGCGTGGCCGTGAGCAGCAACAGACTCCACAACAGGGAGGTGTGGTGAGGGCTGAAGAACCCAAGGCAAACATCTGGAGCAGGGCGGAAGCATCTGGATCTACTGGTGCAGGCACAGCTGGCGCAGGCGCGGCTGGCGCAGGCGCAGCTGGCGCAGGCGCACCTACGATGAGCATTCCCGAATCGTGCTGCTCCTGGAACTGCGTGTTCTTCTCGCTTCCCTGCCGCAGAAAGACACGGTTGCAGATGACATGCAGCCAGGCAGGGGAAAGAGGAGAGTCAGAGCAGAAGGAATCTGAGTGAGCAGGGAGGAGCCAGCCAGTCCATAGATGAGGTACTCTGCGTTCAGTGCCACTGGGCAAATCAGTACAGGAATTAGCTATTGATTTAAGTAGAGTTGGATCAAGAAACTGGCGCTCACAATGAGCTGGCTTTTATGGTGAACTCATCTAGTGATGGGTGCTACCATACAACAATGTTGGCAGCATCTTGTAAATCATGCCCAGTCATGTCTGCTCTTGTTGGATCCCATGACATCAGCACGTAGTGCGTGGGTGGTTCGGCAATGTTGATGAATGGCATGTGGGCAAACCAGCTTGACTTCTGCCTATGTACGGTAAATTCTTTGTATTTATCGTAAGTCAACGTGCACAACCGATTTGAGTTCATCTTGAGGTTTCTTCTGTCCTTGACCAGCTACATGTCGGGGCTATAATCAACTCAAGCGGAATAAATGAATTACATAGTAGGGTGATGGTACAAATAAGTAACCACAAATGCAACACCACAGATATATGAACCATACGATTTGACACACCCCCATAGGCTAGGTAAGGGAACGTACCGTATTACCCCGGATATAGGCGCATCTGCGCTTATAATAAAATCGGTTTTTTTTTTAGGGGTGGCGCTTGTAATTGAATCACGGCCATAAGCACTGGCGCTTATATCATGGCAGAAGTGATTTTGTGATTTTAAAGTACCAAATCGAAGCCCGCAATAAGGCGAACACAATTGTGTAACGTACGCGTGAGATAATGCACGAAATCCCACCGAAAACTGTCGCGCTTCGATTCCCGACCGCACAAACCCCGTCCAGGAGCAGGGAATCTGCCAGCGCTGACGTGAAAGTAGCCATGCGGCTAAATCAGGCTATCATGCGGTGGCAGGCAGCTGCATTTCACCCGAACCATCGAGAAGGCGGTGGAATGACCTGCCAGCGCATCATGTTCGTGCCACGATACCCTCCTCTCCGGGTTCAGACAGGGGGTACCCGTCTCGCCCCGACGAGGACCCCGAGTCGCTAATCAGCAGGGGTCTAATTGAATATCTCATTTGTGCACCATTTCTCTCAGTTTCTTGTTTGCCTGGCTGCGGAAGCCATGGTGGAATTCAGCGGCACCCACTTCTTGTTCAAGAAAAAGCCTACTCGAAGGCCCGCGTTTACAGTAGACGCTGACGGGTGGTGCACCCGTATCCCGCCAGAACCACCAGAGCCACCACAGCCTCCTGCGCCTCCTGCGCCTCCTGCCCCTCCTGCTCCTCCTTCGCCTCCTGCTCCTCCTTCGCCTCCTGCGCCTCCTGTTCCTCCTTCGCCTCTGGGTCCTGTGTCACTGCAACACACTGCCAATCAGCCCGTGCTCACGCTGCTGCTTCCATCGGCGTTTGACGAATTCCTGTCCGAACCGGAGTCAACAACGCGCCGGATGTGTACGTGCGAGTGGACCACGTGCCTGGAGGACGTGTTAAATTGTAATGTGTTATATGTTGGTAGGCTGTAGTGGGGTAGCCAATATGGGGTACAACCCCAACTAGGGTTTGCTACTTGTACCCAACTGTTTCATTCAATGCACTCATTCTTGCCTAGTTCTTCTAACATGGTATTCAGAGCAGGAGGTCCCTAGGACCTACCGACCGTTTTTTTTTAAGGGCCCACCACCGCTCGCATGCGGTTACCACGCTACCCCGTGCCCTAGCCTCGTAGCGCCCTCGTGCGCCCTCGTTAGCGCCCTCGTGCGTCCTCGTTAGCGCCCTCGCGCGCCCTCGTTAGCGCCCTCGCGCGCCTCTCGTTAGCGCCCTCGCGCGCCCTCGCTAGCGCCCTCGTGCGCCACTCGTTAGCGCCCTCGCGCGCCCTTCGCAGCGTCGCCCGCCCGCCGAGCCGCCCGCTCGCAGCGTCGCCCGCCTGCTGCGCTGCCCGTTTCGCAGCCCGCCCGCCGAGCCGCCTGCTCGCAGCGTCGCCCGCCCGCCCGCTGCCCGCTTGCAGCGTCGCCCGCCCGCCCGCTGCCCGCTTGCAGCGTCGCCCGCCCGCCCGCTGCCCGCTTCGCAGCGTCGCCCGCCCGCCGCGCTGCCCGCTCGCAGCGTCGCCCGCCCGCCTCGCTGCCCGCTTGCAGCGTCGCCCGCCCGCCCGCTGCCCACCTCGCAGCCCGCCCGCCTCGCTGCCCGCTCGCAGCGTCGCCCGCCCGCCCGCTGCCCGCTTGCAGCGTCGCCCGCCCGCCCGCTGCCCGCTCGCAGCGTCGCCCGCCCGCCTCGCTGCCCGCTGCCCGCTTGCAGCGTCGCCCGCCCGCCCGCTGCCCGCTTCGCAGCCCGCCCGCCGCGCTGCCCGCTCGCCGCGTCGCCCGCCCGCCCCGCTGCCCGCTTCGCAGCCCGCCCGCCGCACTTCCCGCCTGCAGCGCCGCCTGCCCACCGCGCTGCCCGCTTCGTAGCCCGCCCCCCGCACTGCCCGCTCGCCGCGTCGCCCGCCCGCCGCGCTTCCCGCCGAGCTACCTACCTGCAGCGCTGTGGCAGCTTCCTTTGCTCAGTCGCGCTGTCGCTATGGCTTCCATCCGCGTGCTGTCGTTCGATGCTGAGGGCCGCCCTGTGAAGTTCGCCACTTGGCTGGATGACCTGCAGCTGTTCCTTCTGAGCGATAGCAAGGAGCATGTGTCGCTCTATGATTACGCGTCTGGTGCTGCACCTGCCCCCCCTGCCACAGCTGAGCTTAGTGTTCGTTCCCACTGGCAGACTCGTGACGCAGCTGCTCGCCTAGCCATTTGCAGTCACCTACCGCTAGCTGAGCTCGAGCATTTTGGCGACTGCAAATCCGCTAAGGCCCTGTACGATGCTGTCGTTGCTCGCTACTCCTCGCCTGCCACAGCCGAGCTTAGCCGCCTCATGCTGCCGTACCTGTTCCCTGAGCTGTCCACCTTTGCTACAGTCGCCGATCTTATCACCCACCTTCGCACTAGTGATGCTCGCCTGCGTGCCGCCCTTCCCACTGAGTTCTGCGCTAAGAATCCCCCTCCACTGTACTGGACACTCCACTTCATAGTCACCCGTCTCCCTGACACCCTCAGCTCAGTTCGAGACCACTTCCTTGCTCGCTGTCCCACTGAGCTCACAGTCGCCCTCCTAGAGGAGCAGCTGCTAGCGGCCGAAAAGAGCATTGTAGCTGTCGGTGCTGCTCGTGGCGCTCCTCGCACCCCCATCTTTGAGGGGTGTTCTCCCTCTCCCCTCGCTCCCTCCTACGCTACTGCTGCTGCTGTTGACTTCCTTGGTGCTGAGTCTGCTGGCGCTGCTTCTGCTCCTGGTGGGAGGCGCCGCACCGGCAAGGGCAAGGGGGGCAAGGGTGGCGGGGGTGGCGCTGGGGGGGGAGGAGGTGGGGGAGGTGGGGGGGGAGGCGGTGCTGGAGGGAGCGGTGGCGGGAGCGCTGGTGGGAGTGGGGTCGGCGGTGGTGGCGGCGGCGGCAGCGGCGGCGGCGGCGGCGGCGGTGGCGGTGGCGGCGGTGGCGGTCGGAGCGGTGGTAGTGGTGGCGGCGGAGGTCGGAGTGGAGGCACTGGCTCGGGCCAGAGCTCCCACCAGCAGCAGCGTCCCCAGACGACCCAGCAGCTTCGTGAGTGGCTTGCTCAGCGTGGGACGTCGGGGGGCAGTGGCCGCTGTTCCTATGTCATTCGCACAGGTGACCGCAAGGGACAGACGTGTGGGAGGTTCCACACCCCGTACCGCTGCTTCTCCCGCCTTGACGACGCTTGGCGCGAGGACATGGGCGAGGATGTTGAGCGCCCCCGCTGGGCTGAGCTGATGAGGGCTGGTGTTGATATCTTTGCTCTTGACTATGATGCTATTATTGCTGCCATGTATGCATTGACTGTTAGTGCCGAGGGAGACTGTTACTTGTGTGTGCCGCCTGACCCAGGTATAGAGCCAGCTGCCCTGGGTACTAGTGAGTCTGCTCTCTCTGGTATGGTGCCCCCTGTACTTGCTCCCTCCAGTGCTGTCCCCGCTGTTTGCGAGTCTGCTCTCTCAGGTACAGCACCCACAGAGACTGCTCTCTCAGGTACCGCACCGGCTGAGGCCTGTCACACCTTCACCCTTGACTCAGGTGCTTCCCGCTGTTTCTTTCGTGACAGTACTGAGCTCACACCGCTTCCTGCACCGGTCCCAGTCTCCTTGGCTGACCCCTCTGGGGGCCCAGTCCTTGCCCAGTCCACCACTGTGCTCCCTTGTCCGGCGGTTCCGTCTGGCTCGTTGTCGGGTTTCCACCTCCCCTCGTTCTCGACGAACCTGGTGAGCAACGCTGTCATCCAGGATCAGTGGGTTGACACCTTTACCCCTGGAGGACAGCGTGTGGCGATCTGCACGTGCTCCAGGACCGGCCGTCACCTGGCTACGTTCACCCGTCGACCGGGGTCGAGTCTCTACACACTGACCACTGCGTCTCCTCAGGTCGCTGCTGTCGGTCAGGTGTCCGCGTCAGGTCTGGTGGCCCACGCCTGTGAGTGTCGTTCCCTGTCGCACCAGACTCTTCTCTGGCACCACCGCCTGGGTCACCCCTCCTTGCCACGCCTCCGTGGCATGCACCGTCGCCGCCTTGTGTCTGGTCTTCCCAGGTCCCTCCCTCCCCTCCCTGCCTCGCCTGCGCCGCCTTGCCTTCCTTGCGTCGAGGGGCGGCAGCGCGCCGCTCCTCACTCCTCCTCGTTCCCCCCGACAGAGGCTCCTCTGCAGACCCTCCACCTGGACGTGTGGGGCCCAGCCCGCGTTCGTGGCCAGGGCGGTGAGCGGTACTTTTTGCTGGTTGTTGACGACTACTCGCGTTACACCACGGTCTTCCCCTTGCGCACCAAGGGTGAGGTCCCTGCTGTTCTGATCCCTTGGATCCGCACAGTTCGTCTCCAGCTCCGCCGCCGTTTCCGGACGGATCTTCCTGTCCTGCGTCTGCACTCTGACAGAGGTGGTGAGTTTTCCTCCGATCTCTTGAGGACCTTCTGTCAGGCGGAGGGCATCGAGCAGACCTTCACGCTTCCGGACTCCCCACAGCAGAATGGGGT